GAGAACCTGCACTACTTTTTCAAACAAACCTCAGCCCAATTAGCATTGCAGATTACGAAGATAACCTACATTGCTTGTTAAGTACTTATGAACGTATCTATGGCTTCACAGAATGAAAGACGGCGTATATATTAATTTTTATATGGTAACAAATCACAGGAAACGTGAATTAAACGGATTTTGTTTTGTTTCTGTTCAAAATAGTTATAATATCTGAGAGATTGGAATTAGGAGGAATGTTGATAAGACAAACGGATGTCTATTTGTCCACATTGGACCATTCTATCCACTAGGTATAGTACACAACATACATGTAGAATTAAAATACTCTATACAAGAACATTAGGCACTGATTCCTAAAATTAAATAAAAAAAGAATGCTTTTGTTTGACAATTTCTTTCAGCTTTATTTTACAAAGTAAGTATAAAATTCATCAATAATCATAAATAAATAAATAAATATTGCACATACAACACATTCAAATATTAAAGTGAAGGAATTCATGAAATTATCACATATGTCACGCACCGTTAAAATCCTGCATGCAGACAACACTTACGCAAGATTCCAGCTATTATCACATTAACATAAGTTAGTTTTTAAAATCACAGTAAATATACACATTTATATGAATAGTCATGTTAGTTGTGAGTGAGAATGTCATTGAATTACTGGACGTAAATACCCTGTTCACAGAATACATCCAAGGCATGCAGACAAGGAAGTGTCATTGCCACCAGGAAGCAAACCTTTCTCGGAACAAGTTCTTTTCAAATTCATTCCCCATTATTCCGAGGTTAGGATTGTCGAAATGCCCTTTCTAGAATGTCATATCGATGGAACAAGACCTGTTGCGTTTGATTGGGGTCAGTTGTAATCCTTAGTGTACAATTCAGCACCCGGCCAACTGGATATTCGCTGTAACATTCATAGAGTGAATACCTTGAAGTTGGGCTCGTTCAGGAAGAGAAACATTTTCAAACACGTTATGCATTCCATTTCGCCGTTTTGTCGTTTTAGCGTCAAGTTCGTGTTCACAGAGAACCATATAGGAAACTGATCGTCGGTAATTTCTTGAATTCCGATAGGATGAGTCATTTTCTGTGAGATCATTGGTAGTATTCTGATACGACTGGAACGACGATGAGTCGTTTTCATCATCAGAGACATGTGTTGCCGTCAGTCTTTCAACAACTGTTTGTTCTATCCCTTCAAAGATGTAGGCCATGCCTCGCCGTCTTTGTGTACAAGATCGAGCAGAGCACATTGTGATTATAAACTGTGGGAATCGGGGTGGCTGTATGAAAATGTCACTGATGGAACGCTTCCCTCTATCACGTTATAGCTCTGTCGGAGTGAGTCGCTGTAATGATGACGGCACGCACTTCACTCGGGTTTTATAGTTTACCACGAGGCGTGCTGGTTTCCGCTCTGTTGGCTGAACACAACGTCAATATACACACTAATATTTCTTGTTCAGTTTCATTCTTACCAGAAGGAAAGCATGAACATTTTACTACAGATGAACAAGAAACTGAGATAGGTAAATAAAATAAGAAGAATAATTCATCAATTACTTAAAGGGATTTTGTCTTATTAGAATAAGATAACCATGCTTTATATATTAAGGTAAATTCCGGATCTATTTTTAGAGAGTAGTCAGCACTACTTGCTGACGTCAAAGGGGCGGAGCTTAGCGTGAATTTCCCAGTTCACATCATTTCTCCGAATAGGTATAATGATTGTCATATGTGTTGAGACGGAGAGATTGTTAACTGATGAAAGAAGGTAAATTTTCGAAAAAGTTATAAATCGTGATTTCATACTCAAAATAAATTTGTTGTGAAATAAGATGCTGGCAATTCTTTAAACAAAACCCACGATAGACCTGGAATGTATAAAATTACATTCCTTTACTCACTATCCGCATAAGATACCTTCAGTTAATATCTAGCTTAACAACTCAAATGGTTTACGTTTCGATATATCATTATATTGTATATAAATACATTACACAGAAAACGATTATATTTTTGTTCAACATCTTTTACAAAGAATAGATAAAATTTTGTAATCTTGCATCAGAAGTATAAAGTTATGGTCGCGTCCATATCCCCGGGCCACAGGTTGTAACATACATACCACACCTTCTTATCCGATGGAACTAGATTACACTATATACCTAATATTCATTCGTCAGTATTTATCCGGTTAAATCATCTTAAGCCCAAGTCCTCATATGAGTCACACTATTTATTTTTACTTACCAAAGAGACGGAAATCAATATTGTCTCTGGTCTTCAATACAGCCATGAAATATCATTCGAATTTTTAATCAAACTGAGAATCGATTTTTTTCTTTCTTTGATGTTGTTTGTTTAAATAGTGTTTTAGTTATCTCTTATTACAACTTTAGTTGGTTGACAGCGCATCAGTGCAATGATATTTCGTTGTGAAAGTGGACAAATTAAAACTAGACGAAGTAAAAAAAAATGCAAAAAAATAACAAAAAAAAAAAAAAAAAAAAACAAAAATACAACCCCCCCCCCCCCAAAAAAAAAAAAAAGAAAAAAGAAAAGAAAAGAAAAACAATTAAAATGTATCACACAGCTCTTTCGTTTTTATGGGACCCTTCAGTGATGTTACAGCATACGGCTGTTTCTTTTTTATTGGACCCTTCAGTGATGTTACAGCATACAGCTGTTTCGTTTTTATGGGACCCTTCAGTGATGTTACAGCATACAGCTGTTTCGTTTTTATGGGACCCTTCAGTGATGTTACAGCATACAGCTGTTTCGTTTTTATGGGACCCTTCAGTGATGTTACAGCACAAAGCTATTTCGTCTTAATGTGACCATTCAGTGATGCTGCAGCACAAAGCTGTTTCGATTTTCGGGGAAAAGTCAGCGATGTTACATCATACAGCTGTTTCGTTTTTATGGGACTCGTTAGTGAAGCTACATCATACAGTTGTTTCGTCTTTATGGGACTCGTAAATGTCGATAATGTTGAAATGGAAAAGGTAACTGAAGAAAATAATAATAAAAAACTATCAAAAGATAAGTTTAAAAGCAAGTGGAGCTCCAAAATTGAATGTCTATGATAATTTACGATATAAAATTTTTAAAGAGTTTTATACACAAGAAGGAATCTTCATCAAGATTTATTGGAACCGACCAATAAAAGTCCTGAGGTCGTTCAAATGAACAAACAGCAAATCTCAACTGTATCACAAAATATTGATAATTCATCCAAATGATATATCGTTAAAATATACTGTTGTAATGTTTCATTCAGTAATCATTAACAAAGGAAGCAAATTGATTAAATATTTGAACGTTTTTAACACTTACATCTAAACGATTCATGAAATTATGATGAAAACATTTAATAACTTAATCAAACCAATGGCCATTACATTGAGGTCTATGTACATCTAATCATCTTGTTGAAGAATTTCATATTTGCTGATATGTTCACGTGATATTGTGCACACACAGACAAAAACAAGAAAGCATCGATATCTCAACAAAATCTCGATTAAACTTGACCGAAATATTTGCAGAAGAAAGGTTCCTGGGAATGTGACAATTTTACTTCAGCCGAAATTGGTTTCTTACAATAATTAAGTCATTATTTTGCTAGCTCATTTTGAAATGGTACCGACTTAACTGAGAAATTTCTAATTCTACATTCTGTAAATAATGATGTGTCATATTTATAGCAGCATATTCAAGGTAAACTTACACTTATTATCGTCAGCTAAGAAGTTTATCTGTTTGTTGCCGATATCTCGCGTGAAAATCGCCATAACGGGAACAAATTCATGTATAGCGAATCAGCTGCGACATTTGAACACCGCCATAGGTCGGGGTTGCAGGAATGTTGCTATCCAGAAATGAAATAAGTTTATACTCTATTTAATACAGATTAACGCTATATTGTAACACTCCTTCACCTATTTTTTATCTCGATTAGCAGTCACATTTAATTAGCGCTCTAGTTTGTTTCGCTTTTACTAGTACATGTATCAAACAAAACAAAAAAAAGTTTTATCAAAATGATAGTTCAATTTATAATAAGGCGACCAGGAGAAAATTGAAAAAAATGTGGTCCATCTTTTTCTTAAACCATTCTTGTATCGCATTTTCTTGAAAAGTACTCGGGGGATTTCAAATTTCATTTGTCAGTACCCCTGGGTCCCTTGTGCATTGTTCCAATTTTGAAATGACCAACAGACGTCCATCTTGGTTTTGGACAATAATTGATTGTTATCACAATTTCTTAAGATATACTTGATTGATCATTCTCAGGTAGCGTACTTAGACTCCTTTTCACCTTTAGTTAGGCATTGTTTCGGGATTTCTATAGACTACCAAACACATTTATCATTAGACAAGAAGGCAATTTTATAGTTTATCTAAAGGATGTCTAACACACCGAGACTTGAAAATCTGTAAAATTCTTAACTGAAAAAAATGTATATTGGTCTGTTTAAGATTTTCATGGTATGTAGTTCACCGACATAATTACAAGAGGAACCCTGGGATGATTAAATCATCTTTAATGGTCTTGTTCGTCCTTAATTCCAGTTAATAATGCCGTTATTGTTGTTATTGTCTTGTTTTCCTTGTTGTTGATTTGTTGGCTTTCTGTCATAGTCCCTTTTAATCAATAATTAGCATTGATTTCTTGTTATTCTCAACAAAATAGACAATGTTTGTCTCCGAACACAGGCACTCGAGGCCAGGATATTATTTTTTAAACGTTGATTTTTGTTTTAGCACTCATGACTGACGTTATTTAAACGAAATATCAGCAGAATTCAAGTTTATGTGCCGGTTGACAAATCCGAGGTCCACGGTCATTAAAAATACACAAGGCAAGCAACTCCAGATTTTAAAAAATCGACCCCTCGCTTGGAAACTGGCTCAAAAAAAGTAGTTATGATAAGTTCCTTGTAAAACAATATGTATCCGTAGGTAGTGTGTATATTTACCTTTTATTTGGTGCATAACATTACAGGCAACGAGAAATTCACAATACGTACATGAGATTAACATCTCAATAATCGGAGATTTTATCGTCCATGTAATTATCTTTGACGGAAGTAACATGCCATTTCAAGGGCGGTCACTCCGACTTTTTGGGAGAGGAGTTCCGGATAGCACTATACCAGTGAACAGGTAAGAAAGGTTCCGATGTCATTACGCGCGTAACTTCAAAATAGATATTTTTATTTCTGCAAATACATTTGCGGGGATGGAAAAATAATGGCTGGGCATTTAAAAAAAAAATAGAAAAAAAATCATTTAATTTCCAATTTCTAAGTTAATATATTTCCCCCACGATATTTTTCATAAATTGCGCCCTTTTTTCATTATCTGCATGATTTTTTTTTTCTATTTTTTTTTTGAAAAAAAATTCTCATTACCGCCAGCTTGATTGAAATTTGATGCATTCTGTATAATCCCTTACCATGATATTGTATCCGAGTTGGCAACTGTGGACTTTCTTTGCCCAGCCATTATTTTTCCATCCCCACAAATGTATTTGTAGAAATAAAAATATCTATTTTGAAGTTACGCGCGTAATGACATCGGAACCTTTCTTACCTGTTCACTGGTATAGTGCTATCCGGAACTCCTCTCCCAAAAAGTCGGAGTGACCGCCCTTGAAATGGCATGTTACTTCCGTCAAAGATAATTACATGGACGATAAAATCTCCGATTATTGAGATGTTAATCTCATGTACGTATTGTGAATTTCTCGTTGCCTGTAATGTTATGCACCAAATAAAAGGTAAATATACACACTACCTACGGATACATATTGTTTTACAAGGAACTTATCATAACTACTTTTTTTGAGCCAGTTTCCAAGCGAGGGGTCGATTTTTTAAAATCTGGAGTTGCTTGCCTTGTGTATTTTTAATGACCGTGGACCTCGGATTTGTCAACCGGCACATAAACTTGAATTCTGCTGATATTTCGTTTAAATAACGTCAGTCATGAGTGCTAAAACAAAAATCAACGTTTAAAAAATAATATCCTGGCCTCGAGTGCCTGTGTCTCCGAACAGATTTGTTAGCTTACTTATAATTCGAAATTACATTTGATGTCTATTAGCAATAAAGTATCGCACAGGTTGATTGCATTGTGGATGTTCGAAGTAAAATGGGCTCTTAAGTATATGTGAGAAAAAATGAAATGATTACATCTTTTGAAGAAAAGAGTCTCAGAGAATGTGCTGGAAATTGTTATTAAAGTTGTTATTTGATCAACGTCCTCTGCGTCCACACAGATGGGAAATGAAGTAACTTGTGTATCTTGATGCAGTGTTGGGTGTTGATTGCATCGGTCGTTATAAAGGCTTCTCCAGTGTAATTATATCACTGGACTGGTCTAATTGCAGCTGATTCGTATGCATGGTCCAGTTGTAAACACAGTTCATGCTTCATCAGTAATAGTGTTTACACGAGAACTACAACCACCTTGGGAATACTACACTCAGTCTTCCCAACCGCATAACAAAGCATCACCACATACACGTGAATGACTTAGTCATGGCCGTCATAACACGCCAGTGGTCGTATAAAACGATCATTTACATTATTATATAATGCGGTTTGTGTTTACGAGTAGGCGGTATATCCGTTCCACTGTACTACAACACCACAATATAAACACTAGACCACTCTATATATGTCTCCTCTAAGTTCCTTTCGTCGAATACGATTTTCCACTTTTCTTCTTCCTTGTTAAATCATTATATAATTGTACCAAGCATACTTTTCTCTTACAAGGTAACCGTAAATACTTTCAATTGTGCAATGCATTAAACTATTACGTTTGATATAGTACATATTTGAGTGTCTTAAATAAATTGATATCGAAAGTAATATGAAGAAATTTACTCGAGACCTTCACTAGAAATTCGAATCGATGCTTGGATGTATACCAGCGTCTATAAACCTAACACTTATATTTCAAGTTTTATGATTACCAAAAAATTGTTATTGATATACCACCTTCATGATATTCCACCTCTAAATTTATTTATTTATTTATTCATTTATTAAAAATGCCTTTACATATACCTTTTGGGATGAGGGCCAGACTGTGTAAGATCCCCCCCCCCTTCTCTCTCTCTCTCTCTCTCTCTCTCTCTCTCTCTCTCTCTCTCTCTCTCTCTCTCTCTCTAACTATATTTGGTTATTCAAATTGGGGGAGTAGTGAATGCTAACGCAATGGTATCAATACTCATTTTTTTGTTTTCTTTTCTTTTCAAGACTATTTGACAGTCACTGCATACTTCAAACCTCTAAAATTGAAATAATATGGGAATTGAATCGCCAAAGCCCACTCCAACATAATAGCATTGTATGGTCAATGATAGATCAGATATAGAGCAAACATGGTTAGTATTGTTAGTTTAGTATGACAATTCAATGTTATGGGCATATTGACCCTGTCTTACCCAAAGGGCTGATGATGGGCGTGGACAAAAACGGTCATATTGTATGAAATTCCAAAAATCTTCCCAATACTCAAATGTGGTAGAATCAACGTTTCACTGATGGAGGGGTCTTAAGACGCTCTACCAAAAGTGTGAATTTCAATGATCCAAGGGTCTCCCCTGGGGAGGGGTAAAGTTTACTAAAGGTAATATAGTAAAGTCAAATTTTAGAGCAATAGTTGTATGTTTTCTCTTTGGAATAGATCACACATGATTAGATTGTTAGTATAGGATGACAATGTTTGATGTTAGGCACATATTAACCCACGCTGACCCCAAGGGGCTGATGGGCGTGGCCAAAAAGGGATCAAATTGACTGTAATTTTACAAATGTTCTTCTCAATGCCCAATATGGTAGAATCACTCTTCATGGATGGAAGGGTCTTAAAATAAAACTCTTTTGTCCCAGTACAAATAGTTTTTCTCACTTTCTCTTCTCTATACAACACATTCATTCCAATTGCTTCCATTTTTCCCTGGCCTGTTGTGTTGAAATATCCATCATATCTTTATATTGTTATATTTAGCTGATATATAAGCCAAAACTCCACATATTACCTACATAAGAACATAATCTTTGTGTCCATTATAAGTGATACTGATAGACTGTATCAATCCTAAGCGAAGATTTCACTGGCATCGAGAAATACTCAACAGATAAAAGTGACTTATATATACAGAAAACATATTATTATGGTGTGGAGGTTGGCGAAGTTGGTTTTTTAGTCAATGAATACAAATATAAATGTAAAGCACGAGAAAAAGTCAATTTTGGACGGTAAAAGAATTATAAATTTACTATATAATGTGTATACATTACAATCACTACCTGTTACTTTTGAGTACTTTACTACTACATCAAGATATGATGCATAACTCTATGCCAGACATAAAGCTGTTAATTGCAATAATTACCTGACTGCGTTGACCCTGTGACATATATTCAGCTCACCCTTGGATATAATTTGTGATTTGCAGTCACCTGTTGTAGAGGAAAAAAACTCCGAACTGATAGACTATTTAAGTCTGATAACGTTCCCGAATTGTGCGTTACGTCATACATTCCACGTCATTGCAGAAGCCATTTATCACAACTACGACTCGGATGTCTACCTCTTATGGTAGAGACTGACCGATATGTAAATGTACATGAGAACAAGAGACTGTCCTTTTTGTAAAATATCATAGAAAACGGAGTACATTTTCTGTTTTATCAAAATCAATTTATCTCATGATGAGGCGTAGACGTCCTCTTATCAAATGAAATTTTAACTGGTACATGTATAGTGTAAAATACGTCTTTTATTTTGATAGCCGTGCTCTTCTAACAGTGTCTCGTTAGTAGTATCATTATGTTTGGCAATATTTTAATGTGTTTATTGTAAACTATGATGCGTGACACTATATTATTGTAAATGAATAATTCAAATAGCTATGATATACACACATGATTTACTCTCACAGTATAATTTATAATATTCCACATTTTAATTCATTCAAACAGTCACACTCTCCAGAATATAAACTTGCATTTGACGTTGCTTTGGAATCGTGAGATATATGAAAATAATTCAGTCTAATGAGTTATGAGTTAAGTGCACCTACCCATCTACATTTTGACATTTCTTTCGATCACTTTAAAATTTCCTTCAGTCGCCTCTTAGATCTCAAAGTGTAGGCTCTTGACATCAGCGCCGTGATGGACGAAACAGCAGTGCGATGCAGTTTCATTCTTTGTTTGGCTTTGCTCTGGCACTCAAATATGATTTATGTGTATTATGAAATATGTTGGACTCTTGGTTATTCACGAGAACTTATAAACACTAGTAAGTCCCTACCTTATCCCCCTACATTCCTTTGGTTAGGTTTCCACGCGTGTTGTGGTGTTTGAGTCATTAGGGACAAAAAAAAAACAACATCAACATATTCACCATGCATATGCGAATGAAAAAGTAAGAAAACAAATCATCTTTAATTTAAATTACGTCCGTGCTGATAGCAAGATCAAAAGCATTTGACAGCATTTTCTTCACATTCTCCACTTGAATCTGTCCGTATACTTTTATTTTTAACATGCAAAGAGTTACGTGGAGGAACATAATTGAATACACTTTATAACCTACACATGTAATTAGGATTTGACGTCACAGTAGTTCTAATACACTGCATACGTGTATGGGATGGCTTGCGAAATGTTCAAAGTCACATTGAAGTAATGTCTCATTAAAATTTTTAAGAAATCAACCCGGCAAAATAAACTCAAATAATAATAATGATGATGATGATGATGATGATGATGATGATGATGATGATGATGATGATGATGATGATCTTGTTAAATCACAATGAATACAGTAAGAGTGCCAATGTGTAATTATATATCGATATATCTAAATATATTATGACGAAACATTAAAAAAAATTATACCGGTTGCCATGTTCAGGATACACTATCAAAGAATTGAATGACTGTACAACACGTAAAGACAGTATAATTAGTTTGGCAAGTATCCTGGAGTGAGCTAGTCAACAAGAGGGAGTGGTCGACCACCATCC